AAAATTATGTGGTAGCTGAAAATAGATCAAGTTATATTTTGTCAACATTTGACAGTGTCCAAAATGTTTTTTAAATTGGGCATCAAGAGGAGAAGTAAGGGATCTGGTGAGAACATAAAGACCAGATCAAACACAGAATCTAGAAAAGTTAGTAACAGGCAGTTTGTGATAAAGGTATCTGACTGCAGATGGCCTGATAAAGGGACTGTGGTTCAGACGTAGGTGAATAGACAGGTGGAACAGGAAAAAGGTTGGCTTCAGTTGAGGAGGACATGGGGTCATGGAAATGTCATTAGGACAAAGATACTAACATGATAGGAGTAAAATTGAGACTCAGTAACCAGTATTAGTTTTCCAACATGACTAGGACCAAAAAAAGACAAAAACCTATAAAATACATATCTTATCAATTTGATCATGTGGTTGAATAGAAACTAGGCTGTCAGTGTGGTTTTGAAATATAGTGAATTTTGACTTTAAAACCAAACAGCATTTAAATTCTCCAATCACTGAATATTGGTTGTTCCTGGTTATGAGGAGTTAGTTAAAGACACACAGTGACAAGGATATTTTATAGAGTGCCAAAGCCATGCTGAATTTATTTCTTTTAATTGTGTTCCATATTCCCCTTTTATGAGCGTTGCCATATAAAATGGTGCATAATATTTAATGAATACAGGCCTATAAGATCTCCTGAATTTAAATTCTAAGTAGGCACATGAAGAGAGTTCAATAAAATTATTTTATTGGTGCAAAGGAATGCACCCAAAGATGCTTCCCTGCTTCTTTGCAGTTTAATTTTTTTTTAAATACAGAATTTGCTATGGTAACAGGGTAATTAATGTTGCCTGTCTCACAAGCAAAGTCTTCTCACCAAATTTACAGCTAAAAACGCAGCTCCAATCAATTCTTACTGTGTCTTAACATCATGTTTTTCATCCCTATCTCATTCTTTTATTAATTAAATAAGATTTGTTATTTTCTGGCTTGCAATTCAGAGAGCTCACAGAACTTCCCTAGTTCAAAATTCAAAGGCTTTGTACTATTTTTACGTTGAAAAAGAATCAATTTAGTTTAGTAAGAGATTATGTGCAGAGAGTAATGGTCTAATCAGAGACCTGAGGGCTTTGAAATATTAAGTTACATTTCTATTTCAAGTTAGTCTTCTTATCATCTTTCTCCCCATTAAACTGGGATCAGAGTAGAGAATGCCTTTTATAAAGGATTTAAATGGAAAGAGATGATCTCCAAGAAAGGCAATGGCTGATAAACAGCATTTGTGCAGATGTGTTAACTAACAAGTAAAAGTCCATTAGTGTATTTTAATAATACATATTCAATTATAACTCACCTGGGCCACACCATCTAGTCACTAAATGACAACAGCAATATGTGTACTTGCTCCTTTAACAAATATTACACATGCCCGCTTCAACTGCTTTGTTCAAGCAATACCAAGTGGTCATGTGTCAGAGTTCATTTTTAAGTGCCCTTCTTTATCATTCATTTTGGGGTCCAGGCTACCCAACCTTATCTGACCTTCAATTTTTCTCCCAAGAGCTCTTACCTGGGCTTAAAATTTTAATTTATTTCACCCACTGAAGCCTATGTTCAGTGCTGTGAATCAAGAGTCAAATTTTAAGTAGACTATCTACTGAAGATATAGAAGTAAAATGGAAATAAATGCTCCTTGAAACTAGAAGGTACAGTCCTTTGAGTATTTCATGAAAAAAGCCATTTTCTATATCATTCACATTTAGCTAAAAGCATTTTGCTTAAATGCCTGGAAGTGTCTTGGGTGAAGTAATACGGAAATCTTCTCCAAAAGGCTAGTGATATAAAACTAGCAATGAAATCAATTCTCCTGTAGCTGGTTGGTCCATCAGATCAGTTGAGCACACAACATGACACATGAAAGTACAGCCATCTTGCCCCATCTGAGAAGAGGTGTTTTTAGCAAAGAGAACTGCTATATAAACTTAGAGTTGGAATCAACCTTGTATAGCCTAGCAAGCCTGATTAGAACTTCTAGCTAGATGTTATATGATGATGAGTTGCATCACAGACATCTCTAAGTGGGACTAATGCAGACAAAAAGTTGAAAGCTTGTAAATTTTTTGTCTATTTCATTTTGTCTATCTCTACAGGCTTGCTACTCCGTCTAGCATCCTTTCTTTGCCAGCTGTTTCTGATGGAGGAAAAATGGAAATTATTTCTTGTTGTAACCTAATAATATTCATAGTGGGGAATAAAGACAGTGTCTGCTTCTTTGGACCTGTTAAGAAGACCACATTCCATCCCTGTTATTATTCAAAATGAGTGTAGGTACTTCTTCCTGCCTCATCCATTGCTCGATTTCTCATTAGTTACTTCTTTCCCATATTATTTAGTTGCTAATATTTTTGCTCTTTTCCTCTGTGATATATCTAATTTTTACACCCAAAGTCAGACTTGACGTCTCCAGGTTTTCACCTGAACTGTCTGTGGCTGTAGTTTGTGTTCACCCTTCACTTTACACAGCTCAAACACACAAAACAAAACCCCCTTTTGAAAACTGCTTAGCTGAGATTCCAACTGAGGCACTGCTGTCCTCCTTTCGAGTAGGGGGTCAGCGAATTACAGCCTGTGAGCCGAAAGTGGGCAAGGCCTGTTTTCGTAAATAGACATTTTATTGAGACACAGCCATGCATATTCATTTACATATTATTCATTGCTGATTTTATGCTACAGTGACAGACTGAAGCAGTTGCAACAGAGACCATATGTCCTGAAAAACCTATTTACCAAAAAAAAAAAAAAAAAGTGCCCCAGCTCTTGCTCCTAGAGAGTTTGGACAAGGAGGCACAGAGCTGACTTTTTTTTTTTTTTTTCCTCTCAATCTAGGGAGTTTATGTCTTGTCTCCTCTAATAAACTTTCCCAGGCAAGAAATGAGCTCCATTTTTTCTTAAAATACTTGTTAGATAATTCATATAGCTCTATGTCGTAGTTCTATTCCCTGTGTATTGGACTTATGTATGTTAGACTTCTAACTAGATTATTTTTGCTCAATTATTGAGAAAGTATTCATCGTGTTAGTAAGAAAAACTAAGATCTCACTTCTCAACTGGCTTATAGTGAATTGAATGTAAGCTAATTCTTTTTTATCAGGAGTTTTGATCAAAAATTTTGTATTTCTTTTTCTTTTTAAAAATGTGAGCAGAAGACAACCGGGGCCTGCATTTCTAATTGATGACAATTGACTGATACTGAGTAGCTGCTCTCCCCTGGAGCTAGGCCTGTGCCTTCCACCAGGCCCTTGTCATCAGCACTCATAGCATATATGCATATGCCCTTACTCCTCTGGCCCACTCATTGCTCCTGTGGGCAGCTAAGTGTGTAACTGTTCAATGGGTTCACCTTGCCTGCCGCCTAGAGAGAGCCAATTTAACAAGACGAGAATTGCAATGGCAAAAGAGTAGTTCATGAAGAGCCAGCTGAGAGGGAGACTGGAGTTTTATTGTTACTCAAATCAGTTCCCCAAGCATTCTGGAATCAGAGTTTTTAAAGATAATTTGGCACGTAGGGGTGTAGGAAGTGAGGAGTACTGATTGGTCAGGTTTGAGATGGAATCATAGGGGGTTGAAATGAGGTTTTCTTGCTGTCATATGTTTCCTGGGTAGGATGGCAGAATTAGTTGAGCCAGATTACTAGTGTCAGCTGCAGGGTTTGCAAAATGTCTCAAGCACTAATATTAAGTTTTACAGTAGTGATGTTATCCCCAGGAACAATTTGGGGAGGTCCAGACTCTTGGATCCAGAGGCTGCATGACCCCGAAATTGTAATTTCTAATTTGGTAGCTAATTTGTTAGTCCTAGAAAGGCAAACTGGACCCCAGGCAAGAAGGGGATCTTTTCAGGAAAGGGCTATTATCAATTTTGTTTCAGAGTTAAGCAATGAACTGCATTCCTTCCCAAAGTTAGTTCAGCCTATGCCCAGGAATGAACAAGGACAGCTTAAGGATTAGAAGCAAGATAGAGTCAGTTAGATCAGATTTCTTTCACTGTCATAACTTCCTCAGTTATAATTCTGCAAAGGTGGTTTCAAGTGTGGGACGATCTCTCTAGTTTTCAGCACTTCCTGAGCAGGTGTAGAGCCACAATTGCCAGGACTATTGTTTTAAGTGGATATTTTAAGGCAATCCTGAGACTTATTTTTCTTTTTCTTTTTGAGGTCACAAATAAGCTTAACATGCAGCTTCCAATCAACCCAAGACACTATAAAGAAGATGCTTCCCAAAGCCAGACCCCTGAAATATCCAACATACCTCTAAAAGTCTTTCATTCTAATGAGAGAAAGAAAAAATAGGAACCACTAAACCAAACCAGTAAAGATGTGTTTCATTAGCAGGATTGAATGGAAAATGGGAATGTTTGAATATAAGTGTTTATAGCTGCAAAAGTTTTAGAAAGCCTAGAAAGAATGAGAGCAGTTGTGCTGCCTGAGGTACCCCAAGATAAAGTACTCTCATCATTTTGAGAAAGATACCATCCAGGGAATCAGTAGAGTTTATCTGATCCTTGCTTCATGGGAACAGTTCTGTGATCTCCAAAATCATCACTGCCTGCTTCATTTGGTATTCCTTCCACACTTGCCAGCTCATCCATGTGGTTCTTACGTTGGCTTGGCTTAAGTAGGAATTGGGAGAATTGAGAGAAGGGTCAACTCTTCTTCCTGCTGTGAATAAATAAGTTTTGTAAAACTGACAAAGGAAGGCAAGAGGATTAGGCACAGGAAGAACTAAGAGGCATCAGGGATTTTAAAAAAGAAAAGCAAGAGAGAATGCTTCTGATTCAGCTTCAATAATGAATGTCTGTGTTCTTTAACTGATTGGCAATAATGCCAAATCAAATTCTCTCCCTCTCTTTCACACATATACAACACACACACACACACACACACACACACACACACACACACCACACTTTCTCTTTTCTAACAGCAAAACAGAGCTAAATACAGAAGAAAAAGGAACCTAGCCCTCAATGAATAAATAATTTAAGGATCTGTCATTATCTTGCTTGAAATCAGAAGAGAGGAAGAATACATAGAATGCCTATTTTTGACAGTATTTTGTCTGTTTTTCAAGTTAAATATTTTCCCTTGTTCATCAAATGATGCTAATATATCTTTACTATGTTAGGATGTATAGTCATCATCCAATATGGATAAATCCACTCTCCTATGAGCCTCAAAAGGTAAGAATTTGTCCTTTTAAAAATAAAAAATCTCGTCTGCTTCTGCTCTTATGTAATGTTCTTAGTATCTGTATATAGAACTAAGTTTTTCAAAACCTTTTATTTTATAATTTCACTGTGCAATCATGTATATTTCATGCTGCACAAGTATCCTAGAATAAAGAATTAAATGCTATGTGAGGAAATCTATGTTATGAAATGTTATGAGTGAAATAATTAGATCTAGATAAGACCTACATGAAAAAAAATTGTTCATATTCTTTTTATTTCTATGTTTGTCCTTAAAAATGCCTCACAAGACCTAACCACAGAAGAGCAATATGACTAAGGGAAGAGAATGGAACTGACACCATGCCCTGGGTTATTCTAATATTTGAAATTGATCTCTGGAGGAGAAACTACATAAGACACTGTGGTAAGGAGGAAAACTGTGTGGTTTTGGAAGATAAGAAAATGTCTCAAATGTTTCAAGAAAGAAGAGTTTTATACTTTCTTTGAATGGTGCTGAAAGATTGAATAAGGACATAGATGTGAAAGGATGTGGATTGCTATGGGCTATGGTAAAAGCAGCATCATTGAAATGGTTGGCTTATAAACCCTACTGGATGGATTAATAAGAGAAAGGGATGTGAGGAAGTAGAAACATCTAGTGCAAAAACCTCTTCACCAATCTTTTAGGCTTTCTTCCAGGATTTTTATAGTTTTAGGTTTTACATTTTAGTATTTAATCCATCTTGAGTTGATTTTTGAATATGGTGTGAGAAAATAAAGGGCTTCTGCACAGCAAAAGAAACCATCAAGAGAGTAAATGGACAGCCTACAGAATGGGAGAAAATTGTTGCAAATCATCCATCTGACAAAGGACTAATATCCAGAATCTATAAGGAGCTTAAATAAATTTACAAGCAAAAAACAACCCCATTAGAAAGTGGGCAAAAGATATGAACAGACACTTTTCAAAAGAAGAGATACGTATAGCCAACAAGCTTATGAAAAAATTCTAAACATCACTAATCATTAGAAATGCAAATCAAAATTATAATGAGATACCCTCTCCCACCAGTCAGAATGACTGTTATTAAAAAGTCAAAGAATAACAGATGTTGGTGAGGCTGTGGAGAAAAGGGAAGGTTTATACACTGCAGGTGGAAATTAGTTATCTAATTTATTAGAATTAGTTCTCTAATTTATTAGTTAATAAATTAGTTCAGCCATTGTGGAAGGCAGTTTGATTTGTCAAAGAATTTAAAACAGAATTAACATGGAACCCAGCAATCCCATTATTGGGTATATACGCAAAAGAATATAAATCATTTTACTATAAAGGCACATGCATGTGTATGTTAATTGCAGCATGATTCACAATAGAAAACACATGGAATTAATCTACATGCCCATCAACGGTAGACTAAATAAAGAAAATGTGCCACATATGCACCATGGAATATTACACAGCCATAAAAAGAACGAGATCATGTCCTATACAGCAACATGGATACAGCTAGTTCCCATTATCCTAAGTGAACTAATGCAGAAAAAGTAAAGCAAATAATGCATGTTCTTACTTGTAAGTGGAAGCTAAACATTGAGTACACAGGAACACAAGGGAATGATAGAAACCAAGGTCTACTTGAAGGTGGAGGGTTGGAGTAGGGTGAGGATCGAAAAACTACTTATGGGTGATTATGCTTACTACCTGGTGATGAAATAATCTGTATTCCAAACCTCTGTGATACACAACTTACCTACATAACAAACTTGTACGTGTAACACTGAACCTAAAATAAAAGTAAAATAATAGATTTTGTTGTAAAGAAGAGCTGGGACATGGGATATAGAATGAGAGCAAGAAAAGTTAAGGAATTTTTCTCTTCGTTAGAAAGTTACGGGAGCATTTTTGTATACTGAAGGGCATGAACCATTAAAGAGAAATAAATTAATAATGCAACAAATTGGAGGTGATAACTGAATAAAATAGTTCTTATAAAGACAGATAGGGTTGGAATCCAGGACAAAAGTAAAGGAGTTGCCCTTTAAAGAAGGACAAGAGAACTGTTGTAATTGGAGGTAAGTGAGAGAGAAAGGTTGTAGATCCAAGTAATTTGAGAGATTTGACAATCATTTGATTGCTTTTATTTTTCTTCCAGTGATTCAAGAAGCAAGCTAAGGAGGTATTGGGCATTTGAAGAGAGATGAAGAAATGCAAAATAATGATTTTGAAGAGGAGTACTTTTGGGTAGACTTGGGGGCTAATTTGAAACTAGTGGTCATGAATGTAAAGGTAGACTAATTATCAATTTTATTACCTTGAATTTGGGCTACAGGTTGATAATAAATTTAATCAGATTTAGGAATTCATTTTAAAGACATCTGTTTTAATTACCTCTTCTAGATGGAGTTATTTGTTGCCTGAAAATCTAGTTTCATGAAAACTCAAGACAGTGATACCCACAGGAAGGAAGATGGGAAACAAGAATCAACCCAGATGCGAGTTAGGGTAGTTGTGTTCACAGAGGACCTTGCTATTGAACATTAAGATAGAAACATTAGGAAAAGAGTGGATCCTAGTCAGGCTTTTACACATTCTATCACCATGTATATACAGACACTATGTCTCTTATTGGTCTTAAAATGATGGAAAACATACAAGTCCATTTCCCATGAATGGAAGTTAACAGAAGTAATAAAACTAATGTGATTAAAATTTAAAGATGAGGTGAAGGGCGCAGTCCTTTCAGGCTATGGCAAGTCTTGGCTCAGGATTTTAGATAGACTATCTTAGGTCAGGCTTCAGAAGCAGCCTCTGGAAAAAGAATTTATATGTAAGTGACTTCTTAAAGAAAATGCTTTTTAAGTATCTGTATAGTATTCCACTCTGTGAATAAAGGAATTCATCCTTCTTTGAATTCTCAAGTAATCTCTAAACAGAAGGAATAAAGGGCTAGGCCAAAGAGCAGACAATAAGTGAGTGGTACCAGCCTGTTCATAGATGCCTTCAATTAGGTGCTTAAGATTGTTTCATGAGTTATTTGTCCCTCAACAATTTCAGCAAACCTCGATATCTCCTCAGAGGAAATCTTGTGTCACGTGATCAATGAATATGGGAAGGTCAATGTTTCTTCAAGTGGGAACTGAAGTAATATTAATTGCTGCTCTCACCTTTCAGTTTCTCAGGCAGAAAATGTGAATCCTCCTTGACACTTCTCTTGTTCCCCTCATACCTTTTATCCAATATGCCAGGAAATTCCATGGTCTACGTCTATAACATAATCCAGTACTTCTCACCTATCTCCAGGGATACCGTTTTGTTTAATTCACTGTTACTATGGGCCTGAATAGTTTTAATAGTTTCCAACTGATCTCCTTGCTCCCACCTATTCTTAATACATAGTCAGAGTGATTCCTTTAAAAACGTAAGTCAGATCATGTCAGACTTGTGCTCAAATGATCTAATTCTTTTTCATCTTCCTCAACCAAAGTTCTTACCATGACCTACTCAGCTCTAGATGATCTGGCACTCTGTTGATTCTCTGACCTTGTCACTTACGTTATTTCTATGTCTTATCCAGCCTAATCCAGGCTCACCAAACTTCTTGCTATTCTTCAAACACAGCAGGTATGTTTCCTCTACATATATCCTTTGTACTGTCTCCCTTGACTAGAAAAACAGTTCACCAGATATGCATGTGTCAGTCTTTACTCATTCATCTCCTTCAAATCGTTGCTCAGTTGAGCCTTTTCAATTACTTTTTCAATTTAAAATATCTCTTTCCTGTCTTCACGTACACTTTTTACCCTTGGAACTCCTGCCTAACCATGCCTGGTTCTGTTTTGTTTTGTATAATCCATTTTCTTCTACATTCTCCATTTCCTTTGCTTATTGTTTGTTGTCTATTTCCCCTGTAGAGTGTTAGCCTTTTGTGGGCAGACTCTCTTTTCTGTATTGTGTGATGTATTCATGGCAGTTGGAATATATCAACCTCAAAAGAATGCTTGTTGAATAAATTAATGAAAACTTTTCAATATCTGTTTAGTATTTCACTCTGTGAATAAAGCAAATCATCCCTCTTCTGGATTCTCAAGTAATGGTAGTAAACTCAGACATAAGTATGTCTACCTCTAATTACTGCCTTGGTGTATGTAGAGGACACTCTCAGTACTCTGCTCACATCAACCTTGCATCCGTTAGGCAGGTTCTGCATGCCCCTTTTCATCTCCATCGTGCTTTTGCTTTCACTACTTGTGCTGTGACTTTTCTGATTTCTGCCTTGGGGCCAGAGAGGCTGCTTTGCGTACATAGAACAAGTAGCTTTGCATACATAGAGCACCCTTAGTGAACAACTGACTGATGCAGGCACAGGATGTTAAAGCCCAGCTCCTTTGCCACAGATCAGGACAAAGTTTCAGACATAATTTGTACCGCAGAGTGCACCTGTGTCATCAGGCCACTACCATCATGGTGGATCATTGCCTGATTTTGCACTCCTGCTTGAACTCTTTCTCCTCTCTGTTCTACTTCTTCGATTATATTTCTGGTTTCTCCTGGGGCATTTTCTTTAAGAAGTCACTTACACATAAATTCTTGTTTCAGAGGCTGCTTCTGAAGCCTGACCTAAGATAGTTTATCTAGAAGCCTGAGCCAAAGATAGTATAGCTACTTAAATTATATTTCTAGAGAAAGGATTGTTGAATAAGGTAGAATTTACATTTTAAAAATTCTTGACCAAATACAAACTTCTAATGAAGCTTCAGGTTCATGGAAAATGAATAAATACAATTATATAATGTCTACTTTGGTTGAGAAAAGCATGCACAATATATCTGGCAGCTAAAACATTAGAGATTTCTAATGGTTTTGAGTCACTCAGAAAGAAATCTCTCCTGACTTTTGAATCCAAAGGATTTTTCTGTGCAGGTTTCACTAATTTTTTATCCAGAAAAATGTTTGACAACAACACACACACACGCACACTCACACACACACCCTCTTCAGGTCTTTCCTTGTGAGGACTTTATACCATAATTACACTGAAATGAAATGTACCCATATGAATAAATGTAAACAAATCATAATAAATTTATCCTTATGATCATCTAGCCCTAACCGAGGACCACAGTTTATGTCCCCAACATAGCTCTTCTCCCCAGTACTTACCCCAAGTAGAGGAGAGTAGCCAAAGGATGGATAAAGAGACATTTATTCTTAGGCTAAGTAGCTAGGCAGGACCATATATTAGAGCAATCACAACTTCTCAGTTTTGAAGACTGAAGGGGAGAAAGGGGGATTATTGCATCTCTCTGGATCATGACCAATTTAAGATTTTTTAAACACCTTTGTAGCTGCAGTTATCTTTTTGCAGGTAAGTGAGTTGATGGAGCAAAGGGAATGATATTGTGCTAGTTTTTCCCTAAATC